TTTAAATAGAAACTTCAAAATTATTATAATTAATAAAGATAAGCTAAATAAATATAATAGTATTATATTAATTAAAGCTTAAAGAAAGAAGATTACTTAAAGAGAGGTTTTTTAAGGAAATACTATAAGGTCTTAAAGTTATATAATCTAGAAACCAGGCTAACTAGCTAGGCTAAGCTACTATTATAAAACTCTAGTATGCGTCCTTTAGGGAATATTGTAAAAAGACAGGCTCTTCTCTTAAGGTCCTCAATACTAACCTTTTAATGTCGCGATCTGGCTTAGAAATGGCATATTAGTCTATATCGAGTTCTTCTAGCAATTATACAGCCACCCAGTCTTTATTAAGTTCTTTCATTATTTCACCTCTTATAGTAAGATCTATTACGGTATATTAGCCAGATTAAAGAGAATCTAACAGACTCTCGGTTATATTTATTGTCAAACTTTGGTAGATAGAAAAGCCATTTGTTTGTGTTTCGTTGACTTTGGGTCTAGAGGTCGTGAGTGTAAGTCTGATCGTTCCTGGTAGTAACTTCTACTTCTAAGTGGCCAGCGGCAGCCCCTTCTCCGAATTTCTATAGTCTGGTGAATGTCTCAATCGAGTCACTTTATATGTGAACCATCAGTTTTATCTCACATTTCTTCTCATATCCACTGGTGTTGTTGGTCTTTCGTCCACGCTCCCCCTGACAATCCCAACGATCGGGAAGAAACAACTTCACCTGTAAGTCGGACTTCTCGAAACGAGCTTTTATTCTGGCAAAATGCAATCATAAATGTAACACTAACACGGAATTTGCAGCAGTTGAGTCTTCGATACGCAATGGGGCACTATTGCAGTAAAAATCGTCAAGTACCAAAACTCCCAAGTCATGCCGAACCCTTCTACGCCAGCTACATTGGTGACGTGAGTGTAATGAGACACTATACTCTGAGAGCCATTCGTTTCTGTAACTCTCACGAATGGTGTCACAGTCCAACGTTACAACAATATTTGTATAAGCTCAGGATGTCCATTCACGTCTTTAAAGACTTATATTCAGTCTGGCTTCTTCATCCTTCATCCGCCGTATGAGGATATGTGCTACTTCTTTACATACCATCAGGCTTTTCTCGAGAGTTCAGTACGACTCTCAATTCAAACTGGGCACTGGGCTGCATAAGGCCTCCAGGGACCATGATTGTACTGATCTGAACTTGAGAGGCTTACCCTGCGGTGCTCACCCTTGGCCGTTAGCCGGACCCAAGACATAAAGACATTCAAGCACCTCGCAGTTTCAGGTGGACAAACCATCAGTATGATTGTGCCCTCTTGGTAGAATACAGGTGAAGCTCTTCTTTTGTTCTCGCATGCTCCATGATTCGCAGGTTTCGCTGTAGCCCTGGGTACAGCGTTGCATATTCGCCCTCACTTAGGCCATAGCGAAACATACATACCTCTATTTCACTGCATCTTATCTGGCTTTTTTATATTTACTACGTCAGTGCTTCGGTACAATGGTGAAGTAGTTGTCGACATGCTGTTTGATTGGATCCCAATGATGAATCAAGTTTGGGTGGTAATGCTCTGTACGTGACATTCCGCTGTACGCTAAATTATCTATTCCATTCAATACTAAGTCATGTAAGTTGGAAGTTGGAAGTTTTCGTATGGACATAGACAAATTCTTGCCTTCCAACATCCATTCTGTATTAGCCAACTCAGCATACATCTCGTTCTATGCACTACCTGTAAGACTCTAGTCAATTTTATAATCCCATGCCATCTCGAATGAGCGGATTCATCGGGTGCTTGTCTTCGCTCTCACTGTAGTCTATAGCTGCTGGATTCGAGATTCTATCAACTTCGTCAAGTCTATGCCTTCATCTAATGCCGAATAGACACGATACCCAGCTCTACGGATATTTTACCGGATACACCACAGCAACTAAGAAGAGTACACATCTTGGTTTCAAGTACTAAGTACCAGTGCCAATGCTCTTACCATAATGCATACAGTCAGCTATTGCTGGAGTGTATAAGTCACATCTTTGAGTGGAGGTACTGCGAGTGTGGCTCAACATGAGATATGTGGCGCGGCTATTTCCCCAGTTTCAGCTCACAGCTACCTCGTTCTGGCAGCTTAAGAGCAACCAATAAGAGGTCGCATAAATCTAATTCATATGTTGATCCATGTTCCTCAATTATTGTTATACTAGGCTGGCTCGGACACCATTTGAATAACTTACACTGAAACCCGTAGTAATGACTTTTGAACTGACTGAAGGAATGCTAGTTCTCACTCGCTTTCGTTCTTTTGACCTGTTTTTTTAATTTAATGCCACATACATAGTAGCCGAGCTCGATATCTAGTCCTGATTCTCTCACCAGTTGCTAGTACTTTCCCATTATACATACATCAAAACAGGAACCTGTATGGGTCAAGATCTAGCATCCAATTTGGGTTGATCTAGCGTACAACTGATTCTATAGTGATAATTGACACCCTGAAGCCCTGACAAGGCCGCCTGACTGGTTCAAGAAGCCTCTGTCGAACCACTAATGCACTGAATTGACTTTGTCTCGAAGTACAGGGTAAGCCAAGCTGATCGGCTATTCATCGGAACGAGGCAACAAGGCACCAAATATTTGCCGTCATTGTCGACATTCTTCGTAGTATCCCAACCTCGACCGAGTCGGCTAGCATAACAACAAAACCCTCGAGCGAACGCCAGACGGCAGATATCCCCGCGAAAACCGACCAATTGCCCGATAGCGAGGAGCCTTTCTCGACTGGGCCCGGTCACGCGTACTCTCACTAACTCACAAACCATGTCGACGCGACGAGCTGCCTTGTCAGTAACCTTTACCTCCTTCCGAACCGCCGGCCCAGCGATTGTTGATTCATCGAGCTGCGTGCGCTGACTGCCGTCGTATCCAGATCCCTCTACCGCCGCTCATTGAAGCTGGCGCTAGATTGGGCCGTCCATCGACACCTGTGGCGTGGCCAGGCTATGTATATTCGCTCACTATTCGAGGCCAACCGCAATGTCACCGATCCCCGGCATCAAAGGGTTTGTCACCAATTTGTGACTGAAAGATGATATCGGCGCTAACTCCGATGTACAGGCTCTATTGACCGAGACCGAGAAGCTGCTAGAGAGCTGGAAGCACCCCGACCCTTATACTCCCCCGACAGCCCCCGGAGGTACATCTCTCCAGCATAGGCAAGAGTCATCAGGTGCAGAATGCTAATGATACCGCCACAGGTTCCAAGTACGAGCGAAACCTCCCGTCGCCTGTTCTCGACCGTGAGTACCTATCCGGTGGCTCCTAGCCATCAATAATCCAGAAACTGATATGTGAATAGCTCCCCCACACTCTGTCAACCGACACTAAAAATTCGACTGGATTATTTGGGCTGTACGAGAGGATATATGTACATAGAAGAGGATACAGATGGGTTTGCGGAGAGGGCTGTAGCATGAATCAAATGAATTTGGTCATTCAAGTACCGTATCAGTGCGGACGAGGTTGATATTTATCCACAAGAATCAGCACTTACCGATACTCTACGAGGGCCAGGAACCTTGTCGACAGTGCATGCTAGAAAGCTAGTCGCTGCAAGCAAATGGCTATATTTGGAAGCGATAGTTGAATGCGGATTGCAACGTCCTCTCAATTACAAACAGCCGATTTGCCCAGATCAGGACAGCGAGAAGCTGCAGATATGATAGCGTCAAGTGGCGAATCCGTTCACAGCAGGGCCAAGAGACGACGATGTAGATCTTTGAAGTATTCTTATTTCATGACCATAGCCGTGGGGGATTATTGTACAACCCTAACGCGCGAATAAACTGATGAAAAACAACCGTATGAACCCTTGAACCGTGACCCCTTTGTCATGACAACCCAAACAACCAGCCATCGCATGGAAAAACAAGAACCAAATGAACCATTTACAGCTCCTGGCTAGCGTTCTTGCCAGTCTTACCCGTCTTCTTGGGCAGAAGGTCTGGAGAGATGTCAGCGATGATGCAAAGTGATGAAGAATGCAGAACGTACTCTGGTGGATGTTGGGAAGGACACCACCCTGGGCAATGGTGACGTGACCCAGAAGCTTGTTCAACTCCTCATCGTTTCGGATGGCGAGCTGGAGATGACGGGGGATGATACGGGTCTTCTTGTTGTCACGGGCAGCGTTACCAGCCAACTCGAGGATTTCGGCAGCGAGGTACTCGAGAACGGCAGCGAGGTAGACGGGAGCACCAGCACCAACACGCTGAGCATAGTTGCCCTTTCGAAGAAGACGGTGGACACGACCAACAGGGAACGCGAGACCAGCCTTGGAAGATCGCCTGAAGAGTGATGTTAGCTTGAGATCAAGTAAAGCGAAAGGCGCGTCAAAATGAGCGAGGGGAGACTTACGATTGCGCGTTCTTGGAACCAGAGGCCTTGCCGCCAGACTTTCCGCCGCCAGTCATTTTGAAGGTTGGGTGGTTCGGGGTGGTGGATTAAAAAGAAGTGATTGAGGAGTCTGAAAGACTTTGTTGAGATGGATGGAAGAGTCGAAGAGAATGGTTGTGATGACAATTGGTTGATGAGAAGTGGAAGGGATAACGTTGGCGGGGGACGTAGAGGTTAAGTACTTTTCGCGCGTCGGGAGCTCTGATCCCAGATCACTCACTTGCAGCTGGCAACGCGATTTGGGCCTAGCCGCATTTGGCGAAATTAGGAAACCAAGCTCCTCGACGCATTAAAAAATAAAATCGGGCACCCCTGGCACGCCAGTAACACTTGTTACTGGCCAGTGGTCCATGGCCCACTAAACTGGCCCCCGGCGAAATAATAAAACCGATTTCCTATGTTATGCCCTCCAACCAAGATCACTTGCGCGTCATTCTGCTTTCTCCTCTCACCTTGCCCGCACCACAAGATTTTTTCGTCCTCCGTTTTCATTTTTCCTCCTGGCTACATTTTTTGCTATGCTCGGGGTGATTTGATGATTGGAGGACACTCATTCACAATCACTCAAAGTCACTACAGTTTTCCGATACCTTTGGTCTCCATGTTTGTCAACTTTTGCCAGGTCCAGCTCATCTCGTTTGAACTGGTCTGGCCCGGTTGCTCTGTTGTTGCTCGGTCGCGCTCTCGTTGCGTGATTTTTTGGACTTGGTTCCTCCACCTGGTCCGTTTGAAGTTGTTGTTCCAAGTTGGTCTGATCTTTGATCTTTTTTCTTTGACCCATTCTGGTCTGAAATTCTTTTGATTTTTTTGAGGTTTGATCCATCTTGGTCATACCATGACTTTTTTCATGTCTTTTTTGTACTTTGATTTGACCCATATACACCTTTGAGAGGTGTATACAACTTCTTTTTTCCTTTTTTCTTTTTCTTTTCGTACTTGGAGATAGATTTAAGCCTCAATTTGACTCTATGAACCCCAGATTCAGGTGCTGTGACGTATATTGCATGTATGAACGGTCCACAAATCAAAATCCCCCGGCTCTTTGATGTCAGATCTCTTCGAGATCCGTCAGGAACCAGTCACGACGGAGCCAGCAGCCCTATAGATCTCCGTCTCGGGACTCAAACGGATGCAGATGTGGAGTGAAGCCGGGACGGCATCCTCAGGAGTCACGACGACCGACGCCGAATGGCGATGGATTGCCGCCGTGACGGGCCACAGTCCGGAGCCTTCCTGAACGGACGCGTTGATGAGAAAGACGGACGCGTAGGCAGGGATGCTCGAACGGATCTGGGCGTATTCGGGGACCTGGATCGGTATACAGCTCAATTTACATATAGATTTTACGCTCATTACGGGTCTCTAAGGCTGTCACATCAAAAAAATCGGGCATATTTGGGGTCATCACGACAACTTTGAACTGATCTACAAGATGGACATGATGGATGAAAGTAACATGTTTTGAATGAAAGTACCTATACTATGAGTAGAAGTGATATGTAAAAGGAAAGAAGTCAAAGAGCAGGAGAAGAATGACCCGGGCTGAGACGCGAGAACTGGGAGGTGATGAAAGAGGACGAGGGAAGCAAAGAGACCACGACGCGAAAACGAGAATGGAAATGGAAATGGAAATGGACGCTCCCATCAAACGATGACGGAAAGGATGTGCTGTGGGGGGGGGCCGACCTTAGCTTACAGCGCGATTCTGAGTGCGAAGAGCCAATCAAAAAAAAGAACCGTCACCCAATTTTTATTTCACCAGCAGCAACAGAAAAGAGGGGCTGGCCTGGCAGGTCCCCTCCCAAGATCACCTCCACCAGCCGCTAAGCAGGCCCGCGCAATTGAAGCAAGCACGCGTGCGCACGCCCCCCAGGCAATCAGTAACCCGCTAACACCGACAACGCGCCAGCTACAAAAACCCAACCCACTCCCCGATCTTCCCTTCTCGCCATCAACTTCCCATCTACAACAGCATCTTCTCGCCTCACAACAACTTACTCAACAGACGAGTTCTTACTCAACCGACACCAACCCACACACTTTTTCAACCCTCTTTTTCATCTTTCGAAATGGCTCCCAAGGCTGCTGACAAGAAGCCCGCCTCCAAGGCTCCCGCTACTGCCTCCAAGGCTCCTGAGAAGAAGGATGCGGGCAAGAAGACTGCCGCCTCTGGTGACAAGAAGAAGCGCTCCAAGACCCGCAAGGAGACTTACTCTTCTTACATCTACAAGGGTGAGTTCCAATCTCAATCGCGCCTTGTCGCGCCCTGTTTTGGTAACGCGTTTACTGACTTGCATCTCCCAGTCCTGAAGCAGGTCCACCCTGACACTGGTATCTCCAACCGTGCCATGTCCATCCTGAACTCTTTTGTCAACGGTATGTCGCTTCATCTAGTTATAGTCCAACTTGATCTGACTCTTAATTCAGACATCTTCGAGCGCGTCGCTTCTGAGGCTTCCAAGCTTGCCGCCTACAACAAGAAGTCCACCATCTCTTCCCGAGAGATCCAGACCTCTGTCCGTCTGATCCTCCCCGGTGAACTTGCCAAGCACGCCGTCTCTGAGGGTACCAAGGCTGTCACCAAGTACTCTTCCTCGACGAAATAAGTGCTTTGATGGCTTGATTTGTTTTGGGCATTTGGTTTTTCACGCGTGGCATCAGGGTGTCATGAGTCTGAGGTTTCACGGGGATCCAGCCCTGTTTTAGGGGCCTCATAATGCGTTACGGATGGTTTTGTTTTATTTCCTGGGGGCAATGTCTTCACACACGGGCAACGGGGTTCGCGGTTGTACAATAAACATCGAGAATAGGGTCTCGATCAAATGAATTCGTGCACATAAGCTTTGTGTCCCATCCTTTTGTCACATGTGTCTTGCCTGATGCCATTAGTTTCTAATCTCTACAGTTTTTTTTTGCATTCCTCCAACCCCTTGAAGTGCCATGTTAAACATTTGACTAACTTCTATCCCAGTCCAGCTTTTGAGCGCTTCATTGTATGAGTAACAGGTTGCATGATGCCCTTATTGTTGGAGGCCCCGAGCGCGGTTCCCATGCTCCAGCCCATCTTCTCCAGCATTGCCCTTCCACGATTCTCGATGCCTAATTCTGGCGCTGAAGCACCAACCACCTCGCCATCTTGATATGTAGCGGCCGCGACGGAAGTGCCACCACGAGCAGGCAGCAAGCGATTCCCTTTCTTGCCCTTCTTATCCGACCGAGGAAGATACTTGCGATTGACGCGCTTGAGAGCTTGATCGAATGTTGCTGGGACGTAAGGAGGCGTACGCTTGGTTCGATGAAGTGTCGGTCTTCGTTGGTCGCCTTTTCCAACTGACTTGGACTTGAGCTTGAATTTACTCGCCAGTTCGTGGATCATCTTGCGCGCATTATTATCCATAGGAGGGAAATTAAGTCTGTGCCTAGTCAGTTAAAATTCATAAGTAACTTGATGATAACTCACTGTTCGTCAGAACCCATCAGGAATGTTTGTAGCTCATCTGCGACTTGGTCCATGTTCATTCCATCTGGATATTTGACCCGCAGATCGTCAGGGTCTTTTTTGCCTAGCAAGCCGAGGGCACGCATCTCCTCTCGCTGTTTCTTTCGTTCGGATTTCTTAAGACGATCGCTCTTCCAGCTGGCTTGGAGAGATGCTTCCAGTTCGGAATCGGACATGTTGAAGCTGATCTGAGCTCGAGCGCCTTTGCCTTTGCGCCGACGCAGGCTGGGGCGATCCCAATCCATCAAATCAAAATCATCGCCAAATGCTTGGTGCTGTTTCGTCCTCTTGCCAGTGTCGTCGGAGTCGGAGTCAGAGTCGCTCGAAGAGTCTCCGAAATGTACATCCTCCATGCCCAGATCTTGACCGAGCTGCTGACCAGCTATCAGTCGTGCGAGTGTCTCATCATCGATCTCGCTAGGGGCCTCATCTCCATTAGTCGCCTCAGCATCGTCCGTATGATCATCCGTGTCATCTCCTGCAGCGTTGGCTGACTCTGATACGCCACTATCGTCCGAGTGTCTTCCACCTTCGAGCAGTTCCTTGAAGTAATCATCAACTTCAGTATTCTCCTTGAGGTTGGCGATGTAATCGGCAAGGATGGCATCCTCCTCGTCGTCCAGTTTAGTTTTGGCGTTGCGTTTCTCACGCTTCTTCTGTTTTTTCTCTATCTTAGTTAGGTTTTTACTGCGGATTGGTTCCCTTTGCAGTTCTGGTGCTGGTGTTTGTTGTGAATGGGCCGGCTCAGTGATGATAGCCTGCTCAACGACACGGATTTCAGTTTGCATCTGCACCATGTCGATATCAGGCACAGATTGAACGTTTCTCTGCGCACCTCGGCCCTTGAAGAGAAGCACTTCCTCGCTCGAGGTGCTGCTACTCGAGGATGGTCTATCCGGTATCTCCACTGGGGGGAGGTCCTTCTTATTTTGGACCTGGTCTCCTGTGAGATCAAAGAAGAATGGTACTTCCTGTGGTATGCTTTCTTCGGGTGCAGTCTCAGCTTGGATGGCTTCCTCGAGGTCGTCAGGGCCTATGAACTCAACCTCGTCGGTCGATTCTTCGAAGCTCTGTTCGTCGGCCTGGTTATCTTTCTTGTCGCCTAGGTCAACAATCGCATCCAAGAACTTTAGAGGTTCGGTAGGCCCAGCGCTAACGAAAGTAACTGGCCGCAGTCGTAGGCTGGAATTCCCCCATGTGGAATGGTCATGTTGCGACGTCTGACGAGCTTCGTCGGCAAGCGAGAATCCAGCTGTAATATATCAGGTCAGCGTCCAAGCACTTGAACCTGTGCACATTTCGCGTCCGGGCTATCCATACCAATTTCTTCTCTAGTAAAATTGACTCGGGGTGGCGTTGATGAATAGCTCCCACCTCCACGAGAAGCTCCCCTGCCTCCTCGTCCTCCTCTGGCGTTCCTTGCGCCACGGAAAGCGGGAGCTCCCCTCTTGTTTTTTGCCATGGCAAGATCAGGGAGAGATGGCCTTCATGGTGAGAGTAGTCCAATATGGCAGTTCAATTGAGATTTATAGCGGTTGTGCACCATAAAAACAGTGCTGTGTTTTGGAGAGAGAAAGGTGTTGGAGATCTTCGTCGATGGCAAAGAAAACGAGTCACCCCGCGGTGGACTCTGCGTTGCAGCTGGTCTATCGATTGGCTCGGAATATAAAGTGGGGCCAAGTGTCCTAGATAAGTGTCATTGAAAGACGCCGTGATGCAGGTTGCGAGCGGGAGGCGGTATTGATTGGTGGGTCCGCTTGAGCCTTTGCGGGAAAGCTCACAGGCACCTCAGGCATCAGGCAGGCAGTCGCAGTACGTACCGTTGAATTTAACAGTCATCCATTTTTAGGTATAGGGTGGGAACATGAAGCAATATCGAGAACTGAGCATCTATAAGTTTCAACCGAAAGTAGTAGTTAAGTAAAATGTTAAGGTATGTAAACATAATTTTACTTATACCTTAGGTGTCAGACTTTGTATCTTGTGCATATTGAGGTGCTTGTATGTTGAATAATGTCATCATCGTGTTTTACCCAATATTTCATTGAAACCATGATATTGATAGTGGTATCACGAGGGGAGTTCCCAGTAAGATACAAGCACAAACCCACTATGATGAGAAGGGATGAGGGCACGGAAAAACGCGTATATATACGCGTAAACAGAGTATATAAATACAGAAGCACAAAAAATCCCAGCATTTTCATTAACCACAGGCTATGTGAACTCAACTCGAGCAATTCAACAGATGTCGAGTCTGGCGTCGAGACGTGTCACGAATGGCCCGTGCACTATATCACATATCGCGTGCGTTAGTACCAGTACCTATAGCCAGTACCAGCTCCACTGGAACCGAAGTCCACCTCAGGTGCTTCGTGCGAGTCACAAGCTACTGGGTTGTGTCTCCCCCGCCGCCCGCCGGCCCCAGCTGACTCTCCACTTCCAGGCTAAGGCTAAGGCCAAGGCTCACCCATAGCCAGGACCCCATCTGCTGCCTCACCTGAAGCTTTATGTTGCCTCATCTTACATTTTTTATTGTATGTCGTTCTCAAGCTCCTCAGGTTCTACAACGAACAAGCAAACAAATGAAAGCTTGAGATCCATGTCTATCAACATGGAGAACGCCATGGCCAATGTCGACCTAGGACGTTATCGACGGATCGTACAGATGTTCTGGGATCCAGAACCTACCAACGATGTTGCCCACGATCACCCAGTATGGTGTCTTGGACGCTCCTACAAGCTAAGCGATAAGAAAAACACAAAGTCCGATGAACAAAATCCCCAGACGCCGCCCCCAGCACCCAAGTCGGACACCGAAGATCAGGATACGACTCGATCGCCCAACATACCGACGAATGCCCCAGAAACCCCACCGGATTCAATATCGAGCAGTTTCTCATCGTCACTGGCATATGACGACCAGTCGAATGACGGCGGATGGCCATCTGGCTTCATAACCGATTTTGAATCAAGGATATGGATGACTTACAGATCCGAGTTTGAACCCATTCCTCGTTCCACGAATCCCGAAGCCACATCTTCACTGTCACTATCTATGAGACTCAAGAGCCAACTAGGGGACCAGAGCCCATTCTCATCAGACAGCGGGTGGGGATGCATGATTCGATCTGGTCAAAGTTTACTTGCAAACACCATCGCACTCGTTCGCCTGGGGAGAGGTAAGTCAAAGCGCCCACCACACTAGACTATATCACATGCCTAACATCGTACAGACTGGCGTCAGGGACAATCATTAGAAGAAGAATGTCGAATCCTCAAAGATTTTGCCGACGATCCAAGAGCTCCATACTCAATCCACAGTTTCGTCCGACACGGTGCCAGCGCGTGTGGCAAGTATCCAGGTGAATGGTTTGGTCCATCAGCAACAGCCCGCTGTATCCAGTACGTTCAAGTTCTCACCACTCTCACACGCGATATTCGTACTAACACACAACTTGAAGAGCATTGGCGAACTCACATGAGCCCTCAATCAGGGTATACTCCACTGGCGATGGGCCTGATGTCTACGAAGATGACTTCATGAAAATCGCGAAACCAAGCGGCGAAGCTTTTCACCCCACGCTTGTATTGGTAGGAACTCGGCTGGGACTAGATAAGATAACTCCCGTCTATTGGGAGGCTTTGATTGCAGCTCTTCAGATGCCGCAATCTGTCGGTATTGCAGGGTGAGTACTACACGATTCTCTTTGCATATCTATAGTACTAACCATGCGCAGAGGCCGTCCATCCTCATCCCATTACTTCATCGGCTCGCAAGGTTCCTTCCTATTCTACCTTGATCCTCATCATACAAGGCCCGCACTCCCATACCACGAGAACCCGATGGACTACACCCGCGAAGAGATAGAATCGTGTCATACTGCTCGACTGCGCCGCATCCATGTTCGCGAAATGGATCCCAGTATGCTGATAGGTTTTCTGATTCGGAGCGAGGAGGACTGGAAGGACTGGAAGCGTAGTGTTAAGCACGTCCAAGGCAAGTCGATTATCCATGTGGCGCAGCAAAACGCCGTCCACGGAGGCTCAAGCGAGGGCCGCGAAGGCGCAATTGACGAAGTTGAGACGCTAAGTGACGATGATACGGATACCATTCAGGAGGCCTAGATTGGTTGTTGGGCCCGGCGTAGGTTTGTTTATGATTTTGGCTGTAATTTCCTGCAACCCCTCATGATTGGCAGGAGGGCTAGGCGTTACGTCGGGATAGACATTGAAATCGATTCGAACGACCCTCTTATCACGATTTTTGTCGTTTTAAGCTGCTTGATGCAACGCGTTCTTCATGCGCTTCCCGTCATTAGATATGACTTGCCGAATGGTGATGTGGTTGAATGCAATATGCATATCGGACGTGTAGGATCCTCGATCACCTTTTCTTCTTCTTGCCTCCACCAGTCACTGATTTCAGCTCTGCATGTCCTTCCTCTCGAATATGGACGAACAGCCTGGTTCTAGAAGCGAAAGTCTCCCCACAAACTCCGCACTGTGGCTATGAACTGTTGTCAGCTTAACACAAAGATGATTGTTAATCAACATACTTCTTCTTTCTGCGACTGTGCAGCCGCAGCTTTCTTGGCGCGCTTGGCCTTGGCCTTGCCGACCTTCTTGCCCTGCGCAGGCTCATCAACCGACAGATCCTGCACTGATACTGATACTTCATCGTCTTCATTAGTAATATCGCTAGTAGTTTTGAGTTTGCTGGCTGAAGCTATTCTCTCCTCGACAATGTCCCTGGGCGCGTAGTCGGTGTCGTCTGATGCGTCTGCAGACTCGGCAGGTGTCGCGGCAAGGGACGATTCCGCTGGAGAAGGTGATACAATTCCACTTTGAGTCGACCCAAGCGACTCCTCTTTCACATCATCTTTCTGCGCTGCAGCATCTGTTTGCTTGTTCGCATTTGTCTCATATGGTGATGATACCCCATCAAGCTCCAGCTCAGCACCTTCGCGCTTCATCTGTCGACGCAGTTGTTGAACAGCCTTGATGTGCTTCTTACTCTTCTCGTGCGCTTCAAGCTGCTTCTCGCTTTTGAACGACTTGTCGCATATGACACACTCCAGAATCTCAACCTCTGATTCCTCTTCAGATTCTGAAAACCCCCCTTCTGCTCCATTGTCGTCGGATCGAGCCTGGGCCCATTCGGGAACCTCGAATGATGCCATGCGTTCCTGGTTCGCAGCACGCGACCGAGCGGCCTGGGCCGCAGCAGCATTTCGCAGGGAAGCCTGGCGCTCATCTTGGGTCTGCGAATTGGGTAGGTACCTGGGGTCTCGTTTGCGCACGAAGCCGACGAGGAAGTTGACAGCATCATTGAACTCGCGAATGGCGTCCTCCCGCATCTTCTTATTTTCCTTTTCCATCAAACGGCGGACACGACGGTCGGGGGCATCGGAAAGTCGATATTTATCCTTCCACGCGAACGACTTGACGGTTGCGAAGCCAGTCCATGCGGTGTAAAATGGTTTCACAACATCCTCGTAGTCATCGTCAGAGGATCCAAAAGTTGTGTAATTCCGGACATTGAGGTCGTCGTGGTCAGCAGCAGCTTCCTCTTCCATGGCCAAGTGTTCAAAGGTTTCCCTGCAGATTCCATAAAAACCTGTTGGTTCGTCATCGAAGGGTACCGCAGCGTTGAACTTGCGGATCAGGCCCATGATCTCCTCAGCGGATGTGAGTCGCACATTGCGGAACGTAGTAGGTTGTCCATCATCGTCGCCGTCTCTTCCACTGAGGATGGCATCGCGGTGCGAATCGTACCAAGCTCTCTCTTGGGGGTCAGACAGGATCTCGTAAGCAGTTTGAACTTCGGCAAAGCGGCGTGTGGCGGTTTCAACATCATTGATGTTGCGATCAGGATGAAGCTCGAGTGCTTTTCTGCGGTAAGCTCGCTTGATCCTAGTCAAACAAAGGTCAGTAGGAAGACAACATAGAGGGGCATATTCGGATAGAGTTACTCGTCGTCTGTAGCAGAACGCTCAACACTGAGCAGTTCGTAGTAACAGGTTTTTGCGACGGGAGCTGGGCCACCAGCATTGGAGGTTTCTGAGGATTGTTGGGCTCCCATGATTACTATTTGAATGAGCAACACGGGGCCAGTGAGGAGTTTCAGTCGAATCTGCTGTTTCCGGAAAATAGACAATAAGAAAGGCAGTGCTTTATATATGATATATTTGAGGTCTTGACTTGGAGCTTTGTTGAAGGAGGGGCATCGCGGGGCAAAATCAACGATAGACGATTTAACCAGACCAAATAAAATAAATAAATTTGCTTTCTCCCCGCAGGATGTATCCCCGCTATTTCCGGTTTCCAGAAAAGATCCATGAGAAGCGTGAAAGCTTATTGGTTACTTGCCATGCATCTCACTTTGTACGCCGGATGATTCACAAAGAGTCATACTGCGGGAGTTATTCACTATGGAAAAAGAGTCTCATTCTTAATGAATATGATATGGCCGCTCTTTTGATTGGCTTCATTTCTTGCAATCACGCTCCCTTTCCACACGAGCTACTCTAGGTACCAAATCTTGGATCCTCGTTATGTACTTGACAATCAGGTATCATGCTACCACTGGTTTATTCATGACTACCTAACAATCAACTAGTCCTTCATTTTGCACTTACGCCATTGTGAGATAACCTTCGTACGGTGAATGAATCAGGTTAATGCCGGTGTAAATTACAAGAGCTCATCTGAGCTTTCAGGATCATCGGATTTATACTATTTGCACCTCAGAGATCACTGTTGGTGGTTCCTCAAGGAAATGACCTAGATAGAAACCTTGGGCCTACCAATGGTATAGCCTGGATGGCACACGAGGCTGAAGAGAATGGACTAGTCATACGGGTGATCGATGGGCTAACAGAGCACAGACGCGGTTCGTCTGAAATTTGTCTGGCCTTGACGTCGATAGTCCAGTTATTGTATGGACATGGCAATTTACCTTATTGCATCTTGGCTGTTGGCATCATGACTTGCCGACCAGGTTGCATTGCTGTACTATACAGGACGTGATAATTCTTTTCTTATTTTTTTTTTTTAGCAGTCATCTGACCATTTTTCTATCCATGGCACCACTGATGAACCAATCACTAACGTCGATAATGCAAAACTCGATCGGGGGGAATGCGAAAATATCTGCTGGTCTAGGCCTGCCTGCCTGCCTGTGTAGACTGGCTTGGAAGAGTCTCGAGTCTCGGTCTCGGTCAGCGAAAATGATCGGATGATGCAGTTGGTCTGGTTCATGAAAGGTAGGTATCTAGGTATGTATGTATCATTCAGCTTAAACGCCTCTACCGTTGCCGGCAAGAGATTGCCGAGAGCCCACTCCACGCTCATCCCTACCCGTTTCTTCCCTCTTCTAAAGCAAATGGAAAAAGACCATGAGTGACCCGAAATCCGTACCAATATTTACGTGGGCGAGTCTGCATCGAGCTAGGTCTCTCCCTCCTCCCATTCTCTTTTGATACATACAATATCGATCTTTTCCACGCACGAGGTCATTCATTCATTCATTAATTACCTACCTAGTACTAAGTTAACCACCTTATTGATGGCACTCACTCACCTCTTCCTCTCCCCCTCTTCTTTGATGCGGCGCATTTCCCTGACTTGATTCTTGACCCTTCCCCTGCTTTTCTCTTGCGATCCGAGTCCTTCAGCCTTGAGCGTCGCTTGTTCTGCTCTTGTTCCTTCGTCTTTCCCCGTCTTTTTTTGCCACCAGCTGCCTTATACTGCAAGTGGTCGCGTGCCTCTCTTATGTGAAAACTCCTGACACTGGATTTCTTTGCTGCTACACCAATTTGGCAATCATGAAATTCGGTCACGATTTCAAAGAGACTCTACGAGCTCAAGGTTCGTCTAGTCCACATGTTTTCGTCCATATTCGGGTGGTCTTATATTCAATATACTATCACTTCTGTGCATCCTACATACTGTACCTACTTAGCGTCTAACCAAGCCTCACAGACTTCCCTGCTCACTGGGTAGATCATGCTATTCCCTATAGCCAGCTCAAGAAATGTCTCAAGAAAGTTGCGCGGGAGCTACATGAGCTTGGGCTCGATCCTGAGACGTTGCGCGAGCTCCTCAACCCCGATGAAACGTCTCCTGTGGCCTTGAAGTATAAACTCAACGGTATGACCTGACCCCAACGTTTTCAACGGTTTTCTCCTCCGCCCAAGACTGACTGACTGACTGACTGACTTTTCACAGGCGGTGCCGACTCTCACCTCCGCCCAAAACTCACCGTACAGGTTCATCTTCAGGACGGTGTCCCCGTCGATGCCTCGCTTGCGCCCAATACGCGCGACTTTCTCAACAAGATCGCAATCAACCTCCCCCAGAACCAACCGGCGCAAGTCGAGTCTGCCACTAAAACGCTAGAATCGGACTCTGTGAAAGATGCCGAAAAAACCGAAACCGTTGTCGAGTCCACATCTGCACCCTCCGCCGAAACGGTTGATGCGCTCGTTGGCGAAGTCAACGACAAGCTTGCCATTGCTGTCGCCGACGAAAAGACTGTCAAAATTACCGAAAAGCCAGCCAGCAACTCCGGGCAAACAGAACCCATCGCTGAGCCTACAGACAATGGCTCGACCGAAGTCTCGGCAACCTCACCTGCTACTGGTGCGACCAAAGGAACGTACGAAATCATCGAGGTTCCCCTGACTTTCGACGCCGAATTCTTCGAGATGCTTCAGAGCGATGTCAACAACCTTGATGCTCTGCAAATGGAGGAAGAGAAAACCATGACCTCGGAAATCGTAGCGCTTGGGAAAGAAGTTGAACAGGTCGTAAAGCCGAAACGATTCTCAAAGACAGATCTTGCGCGATGGCGACAAATCTTCGAGCTGTATTTGGATGCTGAGATCTTCTTCGCTACCCACGAACAAGACCATGGAGAACGCTCAAGTCAAGTCGCTCTGAGGCAGCTGCAATGGTTCCAGGACCAGGTCGCTAAGCAGAATCTCGTCAAAGATTTCAAGCTTCCCGAGAGCACGGCAGCTTTCCACCGCTTCGTTAACTTGAATGCGTCCCTCCTAAAGAACATGCAGTTCCAGGAGCTTAACAAGACTGCCGTTGCCAAAATTCTTAAGAGTAAGTTAAAT